CCTGGAAGCTTAGTTTTGATTTACATTTTTATTTGTTTACATGACAGTAACAGGTTATGCACTGGAAAATGTCTCAGAAATTATATTGGTTTATGAAACAGGAAAGCCTCTTAGGTTGTTTGCTTCTCATTATTGCGCCACAAAGCAGAAATAAAACAAGTTGAAGCTGCTTTCATCAGGTATGATTCAAGAAGCTGGAGTAGCCTTTCCACAAGATGTTAAAGGAGATGTTAAAGATGTCCTTTATTTTATAATTCATTTATGTTATCATTTATCACTCATTTTCTAATATGCATAAATATTAACTGTACATTTGAGATTTTACCGAGTGTAATAAGTGTGTGTGTGTGTGTGCGTGGTGGGATTAATCCTCTCCAATTTTTTTAAATTGACTTTAAAACTGTCCAAAGTGCCCATCTTTATTATTTTTTTTCGAATGTATCTCAGCCTTCACTTCCTACGTTTTTGATATAAAAATCTGGTTTCATTAAATGCAGTCCAAATTAGATCTGTGAACAGTATGAATTTTTGTTAGATTTGTTGAAGGCTAGTCTTTAAAACAAGCAGCTTTAGCCTGCCTTAGCTTCATCGTTAGCCTGGTTAGCTCAGCATCAGCACCACCAATTAGCCGACTAGCAGCTGGCTAAGGTCAGTAGTTAGCTGCTAACTTAAGCTAACGCTGTGTCTATCATAGTCTGCTTATCTGTCCGGTGTGTCTTTAAAGATTGTTGATATCGGTTACCATATCCTCCTTAGGCTATTTAGCGTTAAATATGGACTAACTAAGTCGCATTAATGCAGCCAATCTGAAATTACCTTCAGCTTTTATTGATGATCCAGGTCTTACCTTACTGAGAAGCCACTACCTCCGTTGCTGCTGTCGCTGTGCCACTGATGATGATGATTGTCGGATTCCCCGCTGATTCAAGTTCATAAAAATGCAGGCAGAGCTTCACATTTTGGACATCCACTTCACGTTGAACGCTTCAGTCGTGTCATTTTAGCAGCTGTTTGCTAGCTAATGCTGTTAGTGCTCACAACGCAACAGAGGAGCTTTAGTACCGTAGTGCTGGGCTGCAGTGAGATGAATGAATGAGTGAACAGCTTCCAGTCGCTTCTCTGTTTTCCATAAGGAGGAACCACCCAAACCTTCTGGGATTTAAACAATCAACCAATCATTCAGCATCCAGCTTTACATACGTCAGTGCTGCATCGTCCAAGTATGAAA